CCAAAAGTAAACAAATGGCCAATACTGAGAACATAATTCAAGTTTTGACCACTAGGGGCAATTTTTAGATGTAAAAAAACTTGTTTAAATTACATATCAAACAAAAGGCAAAACAAAATTTGGTATTAATTTTTTGGAGGAAACGTCAAGGTTTTTTGCTATCCGCGCACGCTTCTACACCCCCTCCCCCAGGACCTTCTCTATCAGAAAACAGTTTTTTGCAGAAACTATGCTTTTTTATCAGGAAATTTTTTACTTTTCTCAAAAAAATACTTTAGAAACACGGAAACCTTAAATATTTAAATAATTTTCATACCTTTTTGGGATTGCAAAAAGCAAAATTTGATTCATTATCACACTTTTTAAAATATATGTGACAAAGTTGCTTCGAAATCACTATCACGCAGTAGCATGTTTATTTACCCGCATCCTTTTGACTGAATAAAGTTTATCTTTTTGAAAAGCTATTTGTTTATAGCACTTGGTTAGCAGTTTACGTTTATGTCGATTTTGGCACCCATGAGGCCAACAAGTTATGGTAATCCGCGAATGAAAACTGATATTCGAAGAGCACAAAAGCCAACTCCTAGCTATGTAACTTTATCGCCTGAATTTTGAATCAATCCACAATTAAATTTCTGGTAATGTAGATGCTTTCCATACTTGAGATGTTAGTGAAGTTTTTCCAACAATTTAATTTCCTTAATCGCCGTCTTAAAAATGCAAAATTATCAGTTGAAATTTCACTCGTGTTGTTTTTTAAAATTTTCGAATTTTTGTAAAATATCGCGTGCGCCAGCAATTTCTCTGCACAGCGACATCCCTCGCTACGGCAGCAATGAGCAAAGTCTAAGATACTAGAAGTTACTATCGCAAGGAAAATGCTGCCTCACCCCCAAGGGATGGCACCATGCACAATTTGCTGAATAAGGGTCTGTTTATACGATCCCGCTTCGCCAGGAAGAGATATGAGGCAGGATGATTTCGATGTATTGAAATGAGTCACAGTGCACAATTCAGCAAAAAACATTACTTTTCTAGAGATAGATTATAGTTACTGTAAACGAAAGGTTGTTCAAGCAGCAATTATAATCTTTTTGAACTACAAGATCTTGTCTACAATATTTGAGTTCTGTTAATTAACAAGCATTTGAACTTTTGTTTAGCCTAGTGACTTATTCCAATACATCAAAAATCATCCCAACTTCCATCATGTAAACAGGAAAAGTGGAAAGATCAGCTAAATGTATATGAATACATTCAATGCTTATAACTTCTTAATTATAACACTGTCAACCTGTGAAGCTGACATAGCAACAGGTCACGCTATGCAAGCTTTTGATATAATGATTTGCATTATTCAAATAGATACAGGTTTATTGGCGTGGCATGACCAGTTGCCATGGTAGCTAGCTTCAGTAGCTTGGCACTGAATACTGTACAAAATCATTTTATATATAAACGATAATACTTGAATGAATCATTTGACATGTAGAATTTAATAATAATTCCATATATAGAAATATTAAGTCAGTTTTTGTTCCAATTATCGTTTTAATGCAATAATGACACCTTCAAGGCTACCCCTATTGCAAAACAACTGAACAATCTGCTGATGCTTGATGGAGAGAGTTTCAGCCCGGACTGAAATTTCGGCCTGGTTTGAGCTGCCCAGGCTGAAATTTCAGCCCAGGCTGAAATTTCAGCCCGGGCTGAAAAAACAACCGTTTAAATGGCTTTATTTTGCATGTTTGTTTCATCTTTAAATACTTTACATATAACCACAGTCTCACACTGTGTGTTTGTTTCATCTTTAAATACTTTACATATAACCACAGTCTCACACAAGTCAAATAGTCAACTAATCAGCATCTGATTGCTTCAAAGAAGCATAACAGGCTTATTGTCCTATTTCGTGACACTCAGATTATTTCACTCAGCCCGGTCTGACATTTCAGCCCAGGTTGACTATAAACATAGCTCTGACTAAACTCAGTCCGGGCTCAAACTGCTCATGTAATCGTGATGCAATTTCAGCTCATTTTAATAACCCGGCTGAAACTCAGCCCGGGCTGAAAACTCTCCATGTAATCAGCCCCTAAGATTGTACTCAGTCAGAACTGCAAAACTATATAATACAATTGTGAGCATTATCAAAAAATATAGTATACTCTGCCTCTGAGAACTGTAGTGACAGCCAGGTGAATATATAAATGTAGGCTGGTAGGATTATTTCATATTATGCTATTAAACAATGCACATATCTCAGAGATACATTTTTACAGACCGTCATACCTTTTACAAACGTCGGTTGACATGTTATTTACATGTAACTGCTGGTAAGTTAATATGTCTGCAGACAACAATCCACACTGGGTTGCTATAGGACTATCTTTGTGCAAGACAGACAATTTTACGATACTGCTCAATGCCTCAATTGATATTGCCAAAATAACAATAACAATAATAAACTCTCTCTGTGATTATTTATCCCTTAGAAGTACGATGTTCCATCAAGCCTACGATCAAGCTCAATCAGATTTTTTACAAACTGATAAATATCGACGAAGTCCACTTGTTTACTATGAAGACTTGTATGCACCTAAAAATGTAATAATTTAAATACAGTTAATTCATTCGCTTGAAGTTTCAACGCGTATCGACCAATACACATTGTTATTTGTGATCAAACTTTCATCTTACCTTGAAAAGCATTTTATTTAACAGTCAGAGTCCATTTGCGAATTGATGACTATGCCATTATACAGAGGCCATTTATATGCGTACATGTAACGTGTTTACAAATTGTCATTGTCCATGGTGGTGTTCGCGAGGTTCAACCGGGATATTCGGAAAGTCAAATCGCGATCTGGAGTATGTTATTTTTTTAAAATTTCTGTGACGTCAAAATACGTCATAAATCTGATCATCCGTACAAATTTTCGTACATGCAAATAAAATCGAGTTGCCGCTTAGCCTGCATGGCAGGCGGTTCCTAAAATTGGGCAAGCCTGGGAAATACCGCCTGCTGGGTTTGGCAGTGTAATCGAATTCCCCGTCCACCAGTGGACGGGAATTGATGATTGGCTGCGAGTCTGAACGGCTGTCACTCAAAAGTGAATACACTTTAATATGTAAACATACGTTTGACACTTTAATGATGCATGCGTTCGCTTTAATTAATAGGTGTTGTAAAACTGAACGCTTCTCGAAAGTCGAAACGCGAACTGATTGTCAAACGCGAGCAAGAGATAGCAGTTAAAGATTTACTCCTTTTAATGGAAAGAATGTTTTGGCCATTCTATGGGAAAAGCTTGATATTTACATTGTTCTTGTTGGCGCCAGAAAATATAACGAGAATTGATACAGACGGCCGTATTATTAGTCTTTCTTGCAACGGGTTTTATAACAGGACTATTACGCCTAAACCTATTAGCCGCTTCACTTTCTGAACTTTTTAAGGCTTTCGTTACCACACGGCTTCGTTAGGGAGACGAGACAGTTCATATTGGCAACTGTCTATTTGTTCGAACGTACACAGGCAACGCGTTTATGTCTCGTTTGATTTATATGGCAATCAGTTCGCTTGCATTTCGGATATTTCGCTCACACGGTTTATAAACTTGGTTGGATAGTTCCGACTGGTAGAATTAACTTCGATTCCTAAATGAACTGAACACGCAATTCGGCTTATTTCGGCCATGGTTTTATATATAAGAATATAAGATATTTTCTCTATTGGCGTATTGCCCCGTATTTTAGTTTCAAAGCACACTTAAACAAACAAGCATTTACATTTTCCGCGCTTGCTTCTCTACCTCTTGTCGTTTTCGCCTTATTCGGTCCTGATTGAAACTTTCAATGGCGTTTCTTTCGACATATTTTTATACATTTGCAATTTTGCGACCAAATAATAACATAGTTTGACAGTTTGATTATTAGTATATTTAGTGTTTGCTGATTGGCTAATTAGACCCGGACAAAAAAGTGGGCGGTTATCAAATTACACTGCCAAACCCAGCAGGCGGTATTTTAAACCGCCTGCTATGCAGGCTAGTTGTCGCTCGGCTATACATAACTCGGCCAACCGGAAACGGACTGGTACGAGAAAAACACATCGTCAAGAATAGGTGGCTGCCTACGGCAGCAATAAAATATATAGGGGATTAACCTGCCTCGTCCCCAGTCGCTTATTAATCACGAGAAATGAAAAAAACGAATAATTAAGAGGAAAACCTTAGTTGCGGGCGTGCGCCTTTATCGGGCTTGCAGTGCACGCGCTGAACTATATATTACTGATATCGATATTTAAATACGTTGATCTCAGTTAAATTTGATCTACATAGAGGAGCCTGTGGAGGAGGCAGGGAAAGTACATTTATTATGCCGAGGGGGGGGATGAAGATGTTAAGGGGGGGCTCCGAAATATTTTCTGGCATTAAAGGGGGGGCTCTGAAAGTTCTTGATATACTGAAGGGGGGGGGGGCTCTAAACTTTTCAAAGGTTGGTTTATGCGCGATATACCAATTCACGGGTGACGTCACAAGTCAAGAGTGACGTCACACCAATAGGAGATAATGGAATTATATCATTTCGTTTTGTTCTTTGTTTTTTAAATAATACTAGTTTTAGCTACCTATTTGTTTTGGATCGTCAGGCTTTTTGGCTGGTGCATTTGGATCGTTTCCTTTTTGTAGATCATTCGGATCATTTGTTTTTTGGCTGGTGCATTTGGATCATTTGCTTTTTGTGGATCATTTGGATCATTTGCTTTTTGTGGATCCATTTGGATCATTTGCTTTTTGTGGATCATTTTAGATCATTTGCTTTTTGTAGATCATTTGGATCATTTGTTTTTTGGCTGGTGCATTTGGATCATTTGCTTTTGTGGATCATTTGGATCATTTGCTTTTTGTAGATCATTTGGATCATTTGCTTTTTGTGGATCATTTGGATCATTTGCTTTTTGTGGATCATTTGGATCATTTGCTTTTTGTGGATCATTTTAGATCATTTGCTTTTTGTAGATCATTTGGATCATTTGCTTTTTGTAGACCATTTGGATCATTTGCTTTTTGTGGATCATTTGGATCATTTCCTTTTAGTGGATCATTTGGATCATTTGCTTTTTGTGGATCATTTGCTTTTTGTGGATCATTTAGATCATTTGCTTTTTGTAGATCATTTGGATCATTTGCTTTTTGTGGATCATTTGGATCATTTGCTTTTTGAGGATCATTTGGATCATTTGCTTTTTGTGGATCATTTTGATCATTTGCAATTCAATCCGCCAGGCGCCAGAACAAAAATCAAACTTGCGCGTACGGCGCAACCAGCATTATATAAACAATTAGTCATCTGTAGGTACTATTGCGGTGCAGGGGACGTTTAAGCGATAAATAGTACTGTATCATTTAAAATAAAGCTTTTGATATAAACGTTTAGTTGCTTTCTTGCGATATACGAAATCCATGCGGCTGGTGGTCCGTTATTTAGAAATAGACCTAAGTACATGTGTTCGAAGCTTTCAACACGACACTGAGACTGAAAGACCTGAAAATATAGCTAAACTACAAATTTAACGAACAGAAAATATTTGCGTAGCAGCGTTAGACTAGGAAGCTATTTTGGTTGGTTTAAAACAAACGAGCGTAGTCAGCGTCTATGAGGATGATTGTGTGGGTTAGGTGGAAAACGCGGACATGCGGACATGCGGACACGCCAGTCAAGTGGAAAACGCGGACATGCGGACGCGGACACGCAAGTCAAGTGGAAAACGCGGACATGCGGACACGAAATTTACTAAACTTCAAAAAATCTATTGCGACAATAATTAATAATTTTCGCGTGATATTGAAAGTTATCAATGCCGAGGTTGTGTTTTTCTCTCTCTTTTCTCTGTCTTAGTTTGTCAGCTCGTTTAGTGTATTTCGCTTCTTTTTTTAGTTACAAAAACAAATCTCGCCATGGGCCATGGCTTTATATGTTCTGCATGTAAAGAAGCTCGTTTTCTGCTGGCAGAATTGATGTCATATTTACGTTCAGAAAGCTATATCTGCAGGTGTGATGTCATAATTACACAATCAATTCCATGTATTTTACTTACAGTATTGAAGATTCTGAAAAATCCACTCAGAATCTTTACAAAATACAAAACAACGGCAATTCAGAAAACGTTTTCATATATTCAAGTTTCAACTACATATGTTTTAATTGTCATCACGAATGATACTGGGTTATATTTTATAAGTGAGGAATCACAGAGTAATTTGATATACATACACATACGTATATATTATCAGGTCTTTTGATGCTTTACTTCCCTGCTTCAAGGTTAAGTTCTCAGTGCAAAATTGTAGCTGATCATGACTAACTTGTGATTGCCGATCAACACTAGGGGTACAGTTGATCGCACGCGCAAGTATAGTTTTGCAACTATTTATTCGTCGGGATCGTTATTATGATATAGAATGCCCGTCCATTTTGACACTTCGTACCTCCTTTAATCCTTTGCGAACAGCGACAACTTCCTGATAATAGGTACTCGACAGAATTAATTGCTGATGGGTTTTGTAGATGGAAATTTCGAATGTCACTTTTATACATTTTTTATACCTATACCTGTCCGCGTTTTCCACCTAACCGATACGGTTTGTATAAAAAAAAACGCAACCTCGGAATTTCCTAATTTTAAGCCCCTGGGAATTGAAATCGAATTGCTAATAGATCATATTACTGTTGTTGTCCATTAAATAAATGCATAAATTTTGCTTTATGCACAATAATTTTGGCAGTTGTGCTATTTTAAATTCCCAGGCGCCTAAAATATTTTGTCTTTAAAACCATGTCGTTTTCTTGGGAAATTCCGAGGTTGCGTTTTTTTTATACACCCTGTATAGAATGCCCGTCCATTTTGACACTTCGCACCTCCTTTAATCCTTTTTAATCCTTCCTCACAATGGGTGATTAATTAATGAGCTTGGCTAAAGGTCGTGGGTCAAATCAGATCAGTGGTGTCCCTCCTGCTGATCTTACCAACATATACTTCGCGCTTATTCGTTCTATTCTGGAATATTGTTGTGAGGTATGGAATTACGCGATACCCCGCTATCTGTCTGACGAACTGGAAAGAGTACAAAAGCGTGCCATGCGCATTATCTTTCCTGGTCACTCATACGACGAAGCTCTCTAATTGGCTAATTGCACAAGACTTAGCGACAGGCGAAACGAAACCTGTATAATACCTTACAGAAGATTGCTAAACGAGCAGGCTTGCTGAACACGTAACACAATCTAGAGCTTGTGCTCAACAATATAATATTAGAAACCTAAATAATCTGACATTGTATAAGTGCAGAACTGAACGTTTTAAAAACAGTTTCTTTCCAAGAGCAATTGTTGAACTGAATGCCATGAAATAGAGAAAGGAACCTACCTTAGATTAAATGGTTGAACAATTTATATTTTAACAATATTTTTAACTTAATATTCTTAACTTATATATTAATAATATTCTTTACCTATTTTATCTTAAATTTTATGACCGTGTAAATATCTATAAATTAAATTTGACTTTGAATGTAAACACATTGTAATTCATTGTTTATGCGAAAATGTGTCATTAAAATCTTTGACATTTGAAGAATAATGTGCAATAACATAACCATCTAAACAAAGCAATCAACACATGTCTCTGCATTGCATCGTCTACCTCTTGATTTGCATCAACACTCAGAGATGTTCTCACATGGCAACGTTCATGTTTATAACAAGCTTTTGATAATTATTTTGATCAGCCAATCACATTGAACTAGCTTTGTTTAACTCATTGAGTAGCAGCATTCTTCCCGTGACGAGTAAAATCGTCTGGTGTTAAACACAGTAAAATAATAAAGTAGGGCGCATCTGGATGCATTGCCACTTAAAGGGTTAACAGCTAGGGTGCATGGGCACATACTCCCTGACGAGTAAAATATCATCTGGCGTTAGACCATGGGTTTTCAACTTGGGGGACATGTCCCCGAGAGGGGACATTTGGCAAATTCCTAGGGGACACAAACTGGTCTAGGACTGAGAAAACAATAGTTGAATACAATAGTTGAATACAATAGTTTGTACTATAAACATGTTTGCTTGACTTTCTATCTATTATTTAAAATTTAAATCATTTACTATTTTACTAACTATTTCGAAATTCGTGTTTTTGATAGACTTCAGTGGGCAATTTCTGTTCAGGGGACGTGGTAATTCAATCATGTGAAATCGGGGACACATGAGAAAACCAGTTGAAAACTGTTGCGTTAGACAGAGTAAAATAATAACGTAGGGCGTATCTGGGTGCATTGCCACTTAAAGAACACAGGTGCATGGGCAGACAGTCTGTTTAACTCATTGAGTGGCAGCATTCTTCCTGTGACGAGTAAAATCGTCTGGTGGTAGACAGAGTAAAATAATAACGTAGGGCATATCTGGGTGCATTGCTACTTAAAGGGTTAAAATGCTAGAGAAGTTCACTTGGGATAAACAACTAAACATGTTTTATTGGCCACCGTTCATCATTATTTTGTATATTACTAATTCTCAGCTTCCCCTGCATTTCTTCATCCATTGAGCGCTAGCTCCCCCCTTGATGGGTAAAATAATTTGATGATAGACCAAGTAAAGTAGACTGTGGCACAAAGCAACATAATGAGTTAAATATCTAAATGCACTCTATTAATTTCAAAGTCATTTGGGTGATATCAAACTGTACTGTGTACAGCATGCTGAGATATTGAAAATTAATCCAAATAGGATTATATGGCAAGATATGTCTATGTTGACAGATGACAAAGAAGACGGATCAAACGTACAACAGAATAAGTAGACTGACTAAGTACAAATGTAAACAGAAGCCTACGTAACAATAAACTGAATAGTTTACGACATAGTTACACTTCTCCAAGATAAAACATACCCGATATATAATCATCATGCTGCCGCAGTTCAATAGCGTTGTCCGCAATTGACGTCACGAAAATTCGACCCCCCGCGAAGACTCAGACAAACATTGGCAACATTTAATATAAATAGTATTATGATTAAGAGCTTCCTGCGAGTTATTTTGATAGTTTGATGTTTGTTTACGGTTTATTTGTGCGAAATCATACACACCTTGTACTTTTCGCTTTACCTGAAGTGCCAGTGCAAAATATTTTTGCTTTGGAAGTAGAAATATACACTTTTTCGTCACTTTAGTATCGACTGTCGTCGTTTCTATCGTAAGCGGTGTCTACTGTATTATAATAGTACATGGTTTGGCGTAACTGTTGCTATAAAAGAGGCCATAAAGAAAGGGTATGCAAAAGAAAGGACGATAGAAAGTCTGTAGTAGCAGATATTTAACCGAAAAAATCTCGTAGTCGTACCAGATTTAATTCGTAGCCCTAGCGAATTAGTTCTAAAGTTCCCTATTTAATGTTGTTGATTTCATGTTTATACTAACTTATATTTTAATACTCGCTTTAGTGTGGCATTATTTTATTACTTTAGACATCTCTATAATTAATAGCAAAGTCCAAAGCCAAAGAAGCTAGGATTGTTTACTATAATCTATTGACTACATATTCAACTTATAAAATACGGATTTATTAGGAATGTACTTAAAACTAATACTTTCAAATTTAAACTTTTTTAAAAAATGTCAAAGATAAACTACAAACTATATAAAATCTCAAATATAAAATCTTCCGTTGACCAGTAAAACCTCGAGTAAAACTATTTTATTTTGACAATACAACAAAAATATGTTATTAGAAAAACAACATTTTTATTTATCTATTTTTAAATATTCCGTTTTGTAAAATGGAGAACCGCCCTTTAACACTGTGTTAATTAATAGCCTAACACTGTCTGGTAAACTATTGCTTCTCTCTCAGTCATAAATTTAACAACAGACGCTCTCACTGAAAACGATGGCGTCCCAGACTCATATTTTGAGCATGATCCATCCGAGGGGCAATTCACTCCAAAAATCCCGTACACTTCGTCAAAAAATCCGGAAAAAATCCAGAAAAAATCCTCAAAATCCGATGAATCCATCAAAATCCGAAAAATCCTTTAAAAACCACAGAAATCCTTCAAAAATCCACAGAAATCCTTCAAAATCCTCAAAAAAATCCGCAAATCCACAAAAAATATATGAAGTACTTGGTGTAATTTACTCGTAAAGGTTCTTTGCCACGTTCAAAATGGCGGACAGCGAAAGCTAAACGCTTACCGTGATCTCTGTCATTATATTTCGTAATTATTGGACCACTCTACATTTCCATTTATACGCTCGAGTATATGCTAAGTTTTTTTAGCCTACTACTACTAAATATGTGTTCTTGTTACAATGACGTTATGTTGTAAAATATAATTACAAAACCAAAAGTTATTCACCATTGTCTTTTACTGTTTTTGAAAGAATAATGAACTTGTTTGAATTTTAAACAAAATGACTGCATGCCCAGCATTCGTTAGTTTCTGAAGGCTGTGGTCCTAGTCCCAGTCCTCTGCTCGAGCCTGACGTCCTGGCATAACGTTGACGTCGTACACTCGTACAACTTAAGATTATTTGTTCAAAACGTTACCTAGCTCTATAAATCTATAATTAAAAAAAATCCAGAAAAATTCCGAACAAATCCGGAAAATCCAACAGATTTTCAAAAATCCAGAAAAAATCCGAACAAATCCGGAAAATCCAGCAAATTTTCTCTTCAAAAATCCGCTAAAAAATCCGGGAAAATCCGCTAAATCCGCTAAAAAATCCGCGGATTTTTAAAAATCCGAAAATCCCGTACGCTTTTTTCGAGTGAAATGCCCCTCGGATCCATCTGCTTATACTGTCGATTAAACTCAAGCAGAGGTTAAAATGTAGAGGCCGGCTTATAGCAAAGCGGTATAAAACGCCAAGTTCTTCTTCAGCGAGTTCGGGAAAGCATCATTCGCTGGATGTATTGATGTGGGAAAATGGTTAGCTGCGAGAGTTCTTGGAGAAAAACCAGCACAGTCCGCAGTCAATAACAATCAACACATTGCTACTGCAGACATTCCCGTCCCGTCCGACTTTTCAATTCCCTGTTTCGGCAGTTTTTCTTAATATCTCGAAACACTTGGACATGTTCCCCAGCAACAGTGCTTAGCATTAACCATGTTTGTAATTTGGGATAAATTTGAATTCGTATTAGCACAGATAAAATAAATAAAAACGTCAATTTAGACCAATTTATGTTCGCTGCTAGTACAATTCTATACAAAATGTTAGTTTGTTTGTCTGAGTCTCGTGGGGGGTCTTCACTTAGAGAATCTATTTTTAGCTACTGCGGACAACGCTATTGTTAAGTCCTCTCCTTGAAAAATAAATATCAAAATCATGAATTACTTTTTAAAAAAAACACATTTCAAAATATGAATTTAAATATTCTTCATTGTTTACCTTTGAGTAAGACAGATACATAGGCTGGGTCTTGACAATTTTTAAATGTCTGAAAATTAAATAAAAATGTGAGAAAATGAGAAAGATATTGGACCTTATTAGGTATTGTTTGCAAGCAAATATATAAAAACAATTACTGTAATTTTGTGGCGTAAGAATAATGAAGTCCAATAGTCAACAAAGATTATTACCCGTTCAAAGCGAAGTCTTTCGTGAAAAAATAAGGGAAATGTTGGCGGTACAGCTTTAGTACTAACATCTAAACCCATGCAGGTGACTCTAAGAAAAACATAGCCGTAATCTCGCAGATATGTTCCAGGACACAAAACCTAAATGATGAAATTTTGAAAGATTAAAGTTTGGAACGACAAACTATACATAAGGCGTCATTAGCAACCATGTGGTAACTTCAAAAAATTAACACGAACAACGCTTACCGTATGCACATCGAACTCGACTATACATTTCATGGCCTTTCGAGGCATTTTTTTGCTGTACAAAATACATATACTTGAAATAAAATGTTTTCTTCGATATAAAAGTCAGTCTCCAAGGTGAAGCATTCAAATAATGAGTTCACCGCCCCCCTTGCTAATTAATATTCTAACCAATAAAAAATCAGCAAACCTCAGGGTTCGAGCCATTGTTGGACCGAGCGTTGAAACGCGAGGTAATCATTCCTGCATTTTAGAAACTCGTAGCCTAGATATTTTAAAATATATCTGCTTTTGTATGAACAAAGACATTTCCCAATAAGGTGCACTGAAGTTTAATTATTTGACAGATTTTTACACATTCTGTTTCCAATTTCACTCTTAATCAACTACGGTGGTTTATCAGATGATTTTCCAAACTGTTTGTTTGCATCGAAATTAAATGTCTTGAATGCTTTCAGTAACTCGTCCATGAAAAGATTATTGGCCATTTCCTTCTGATGTGCAGGTTGCCTCCATGCAGCTGCGTGTCGTGGAGTAGCGAGAACAGGGACTGGTCTCCAGTTCACTGCAGGGGGAGGTGGAGGGAGAGGAGGTGGCAATGGTGGGTTTAATGGGGATTGCTGTTGGGTAAACGGGAGTAGTTTAGGTATCTTCTCGTCTTGACGTGATTGATATTTCTCTCTCAAACTCCTTGCCAACCTAAACGGCAAGGAAACTTTGTCAGCTATGAACGATATTGATCATCTTAAACACGAAGGACCCGTTATTCAAAGGTGGGTTAGTGCTAACCCTGGGTTAAAAGTTAACCTGCTGTTTTATTTTGTGTATTTCTACACGTCTGTTTATTTCAAAACTTCAGAGAAGTAAACTCCTATCAATCCAGACAAGATCTCTGAAGAAATATTTCCAAATTTATAGACAAGCTGTCAGGAAGTTTGCTTTGAATTTTAGGTTAACCTAGGGTTAAACTAACCCAGCTTTGAACAACTATAGTTAATAGAATAGATGGTTTGGAAACTCATTAGAATAACAACATAACTCATTATCGATGTTAGTCAACGTTTATTCATAAACATGGTCCTTCACCGTCACGTGTGTATTGTATTCTTGCCAAATCCACCAGTAGCAATTTTCACTTTACCCTATTCTGTTTGAGTCACGGATAGGTAACTTTCCTAAAACATTGCTATTGGTTAGTTGGGCAAAAATACAATACGCACGTGACGGTGAACGACCAGATTTATGAATAAACGTTGACTAACATAGATAATGAGTTATATTGTTATTCTAATGAGTTTCCAAACCATGTATTCTATTAACTATGAAACAACCGGCCCCAAGGTAATACTACCTCTTGAGTAAATATGGACAAGCAGTAATAAGTACTACCTCTTGAGTAAATATGGACAAGCAGTAATAAGTACTACCTCTTGAGTAAATATGGACAAGCAGTAATAAGTACTACCTCTTGAGCAAATATGGACAAGCAGTAATAAGTACTACCTCTTGAGTAAATATGGACAAGCAGTAATAAGTACTACCTCTTGAGTAAATATGGACAAGCAGTAATAAGTACTACCTCTTGAGTAAATATGGACAAGCAGTAATAAGTACTACCTCTTGAGTAAATATGGACAAGCAGTAATAAGTAGACAAGTCGTAAAACCAGCAGCAGCTCCAAGGACGACTGAAGTGAATTCCAAACTTTTTAACTTTTCAAGAAGAGACCATGTTGCAATGTCGGAAACTGAAAATTTCACAAATTAACGAAAACGACACGTTGAAGATGGAGTGAGATTTTTCATCGTAAAAGTAAATATGTATACATGCATGACACTTTATTAACTTACTCTCACTACAAGCTTCGTTAATACATTTCTTGTGAGATATAGCCCGCGTGCAGGCCCAAGGGAGCAGGCTGAAGGGAACTTGATAGTGGGCCTGCAAGCAAGGCCGGGTATTTTGTACTTTCCGCGTTCGCCCACGAACGCGGCATTCTGATTGGCTGTTTGCTGTTGGATTCTATAATTAGGTCAGTGATTCATCACAAAGGCATAGACAAAGGCTCTCGATAAGCTTAAAATTCGAAACTTGATCACTTTTTTCGATTACAAATGGAACAAGAACAGACTGTTTATTGTTTACTTGAAGGAAGAGATGTTTTGCCGTTATGCCAATGAGGATTGCTTGTCGTGAGGTGTTGGAATAGCAGCATTTAATATGAATGGGGTATAAAACTATAGTAACCTTTTAAAGCCTATTCAAAATACTTTGCGATTTACAAGGCTTCGCTGAGAGAGCAAAAGAGAAGACGGTATTAAATTGCCGTTTGAAACGAAACGATCTGGACTCTGAACGCTCTCTTCTTTTGTAGAGTTCTCACCAAATGAAATAACTGAAGTAAATTTCGTACTTTCCGCCGCCAACAAGAATTGCACACACGATCTGATAAGTGAGACAATTTATTTATAACAATGGCGACAGCGAAGCAACATTATAAATGCTGATGTGGTCGCACGACTTCCCTCACGATTTGAAGTTTGAGACTGGTTTTCTGTTGAAATTCGTCTTAATTTGCTTGTTCCGATTTTAGTTGAAAATGAGCACTTGTAAATTTGGCAATTACTGACTGCGTTGCTTGCTTTTTTGGAGTTTTAACACAGGCATTTACACATTGTTTCTATTTTGAATATTAAAGCAGAGAAAACCCCGCAACATTTTAATGCGAGTTTGTTTGTTAATATTTGGGTTGCTATCATTGCAATTGGTTCTTTTTTGACAATTGACGCGCGAATGGGACGTGTTATGAAAAGGGGCGTTTTACAAAATACCGGGCCTTGCTTCTATAATACTTGGCATTACCGGTACCTGAGAAGACCCTCATGAGAAGACCCCAAATGCACGAGAGCGCCCCTACTATATATGGTATAGATGGCCTTATATGTATATACAGTATGTAATATGAACTGTGTAGAATCAACCACAACATACGCACTACAGACGACTCTCAAATATATATACAATATACTATTTTGAATTATAATTTACTGAGTTGGTGACTTTTTCACTTCTCAGTTAGTTATAAACTCAGAGCACAGATTGACCATGGCATTATGTTAATTTAACACGAGCAGCCTGTGAATATTGTGGCAGCGACGCAGCGTTATATGCCAGCGTAAATTTCACAAAACGCGCGTGACGGCGCGTCAACAGCAGTATAATTATAACTATGGCATAGCTAATGCTAAATAAGAAAGAATAATATAGTTGCTTGAATGTCTGAAAGATTTCAATTCGTAATTCAATTTGATCTTCTTCGGCAAGACGGCAATTTGATCTTCTTCGGCCTGTCTCCTTGGAATTCATATCAAAACTTCAATCAATTTGACTTATTTCTTCTCCTTGTAGCAGGAATGAGAAGATACGGTTAGAGGGAAATTAGTCTCACATTGATTAATTTCCACGATAGAAATGTAGATAGAATTAAATTCCGAAATTTAGGAAATATTACCTGGTAACCGAATAAACAGTATTCAAATTTTAGACTAAACTGATGGCGTAAATTTTCTGTCAAGCCCTATATATCTGAACTGATATAGCCATACTAGCTATAGTATAGAGCGCTAGCATCTGCATGAGTAGGCAGAGATTGTTGCATTTTCAGTCATACGTTTTGAAATTTAGGTAATATTACCTAATCACAGAGTAAAGAAACATATTTAAAATTTAAATTTTAGATTAATTACAAACCAGGGGCCGGTGGTATAAAAAAGTAGGCAGAGATTGTTGCATTGTCGCAATTTCTCTGACATTTTGGAACTATTACCTAATCACCGAGCAAATAGAAACATATTTAAATTTTAGATTCATTCGATGAAAGCTGATAGTTATGTACATTAATCGGCTGGTCAATATTGCATTCAAGCCATATATACCAATATACGACTATATATAAAGTACTAGCAAGCATCTGCCCTCAAACCAAATGTTCTGAAGTTTAGGAAATATTACCTAATCACTGAGTAAAGAAAGCATATTTGAATATATATTGATTGGACGAAAGTTGTTGGTTTATAGGGCTTGAATGCAACATTGGGCTTGGCTGCAATATTGACCAGATTTACATAACCATCAGATTTTATCGTATCAATCTAAAATTTAAAATTTATGCAGATGCTACTGAATGCTGTACACAGGGACGCCGGAACGATGATAAGGCAAAGGGGGGGCGGACGCACACCAAGGGCACATATATAGAGCAAAACTTCAAAATCTACCGTTCGAAATGTGATTTTATACGTAATATTTTACAACTAAAAGGGCACTTCTGCCCCCCTGCCCCCCCCCCTGGCAAAAGGCAGGGGGGGGCAGCCGCCCCCCTGCCCCCCAGTTCCGGCGTCCCTGGCTCTATATATCGTATATTTATATATATATATATATATATATATATATATATATATATATATATATATATATATATATATATATATATATATATATATATATATATATATATTTTGTTGTTTGATACAAAAACATTTGGCAGAGTGCTCAATGGATATCCAGAGCATAATTAAATAAGTGCAACGACTCAACAAATTCCACTAGGCATCTTTATTACTATTAGTTTCGTACCACAAGATGTGGCACTCATCAGATAAATTAGCCTTATGACTACAGCAAAAAACCATATATATATATATATATATATATATATATATAGCTTAAGATTTTGGTTTACGAAACACAAACAGTGCTCAATACCACATAGATAGAGCGTAATATAGTTTTTCGTTTTACCTCAAAAAACCACAGCAGTCTGTTAGACTGTTGTGGTTTTTTGAGGTAAAACGAAAAACTATATATATATATATATATATATATATATATATATATATATATATATATATATATATATATATATTTAAAATACTCATTAATAATTCATAAACCTTTTGGCAAATCATGCCAGCCATAATATGTCACGTGGAATGACTTTATATCTGATAGAGCATGAGGCATTATATAATGGTTCATCCTCATTAGTATGATTATATAATGGTTCATCCTAATTAGTATTCTTTTGTATTCGTATTTTAAGCTATTCAAAACACTCGTTGTCGTGTTTTATCAGATATATAACGCTCGGCTGCGCCTCGCGTTATATATCTGATAAAACACTCCTACTCGTGTTTTAAATAGTATATATATATATATATATATATATATATATATATATATATATATATATATATATATATATATATATATATATATATATATATATATATAACTC